CGAGTCTACCCATCGGGTTTGCGGGTTCGGGTTGCGGGTCGACTTCTCTTACCCATTCTCGGGTTTTGGCGCAGTCTAGGTGCAGGTGCGGAGGTACTGCACCTGTGGGCGGTGTAATGCCAGGTCTACGTGTAACAGCTTATACTACTCTCTAGGGCTTTATTTTAAACTATAAATAGTCTTTATAAGGAGGCTAATATTATCGGGATATAGCTCTCTTTAACCTTTAGGAAGCTTAATTTCAATTAGTTCTTTGAGTTCGGTATAAAGAAAGGCCGTTACGATGTCGATATAATGAATTAGCTAGCCTTTAGTAGCCGTAATAGCTACGAAGATTTTAAAAGATATCGGCTTAGCGACGATAGTATAGACTTTATAAAAGTCTAGATTCTTAATCTAACGAAATCTATAAGCAACAAGTCTTACTTTGTACGTGCTATTATACTTAATTTTGAATACCTATCGTAAGGAGAGAGACTTTTGGCCCTTTATATTCCTAGATAATCGAGGGATTCGACGCTATATACCGTTTTTAATCTGTCGAGTAAGTTCTTTATAAGTAGCATCTAACTATTTGTCTTTCTCGATATAGGCTATTACTTCTTTCTAGCTATTAGGTTCGAAACTAATATTATTAGCTATCAATTTAGAAGATGTATACTGTGGCTCTTTAGAAGTAGCTGTAGAAAAAGATTGATTAGTACCTTTAGGGTATTAGCTAGAAGCTAAAGGACGTTACTGTTAAAGAAAGATCGGCTAGCCAAGCTATTAATATATACCTAGCTAGGCTTTTTAGGCCTTATCGATCGACGTACTGACCTAGGATCCGATAGATACTGAGTAGACGGGATATAGTTAGTATCGGGTAAATTATCTAGAATTGGGTCTAGATAGGAAAAATCAATTAGTAATTCCTAGTAAACAACCTGCCGGGAAGCTAGTTATAGCTCTACGAGAGCCCCTACCCTACCTACGTCAAAGTAGGGACTATTATCCTCCCGTTGTACCTCTATAAACCTACCTAAACTACCCGCTATTTTATTATCGTCGCCGGGTAAATCGAAGGTATCGGGATCGGGGAGGGGAACGTCGATTATTAGAAGTGAAATACTTTCAATTTCTGGAATACGGTCAATTTCTGGAATACGGTATTCCAGAATTGAAGGGTTCGAAGGATCGAGTGGAGGGTTTGCCGGAGTAAGAACTGTGTTATTAATGTTATCTAGACTGCGACATCGCCCGTCCATGGGCACCTAGGAGGTGCCCAAGGCCCGTCCACGGTGGGCCTTGGGCTATTTGGATTTTCGAGTGCCCGTCCATAACGCCCAAGGCCCACGGGCATGCCCACGGCGGGCATGCCCACGATGCCCACCATTGCATAAAGTCACCCAAAATGGACGTATAACTCGCTGACTTTGCATAATAAATAACTGTTATTTACACCTGTTTTGCCAACTCCATGTAAAATGGCAGTTTTAATCTACAACATCTATAAATTTTACTGAAATATCTATGTATATGAGAAACTAGTATATATATGATACGAATTGGAATAAAATTTTAATCGAAATACATCATATTGTGTGGTATTTTTATTAACTTATCAAATCATACTGTAACAGCTTGAAGATATATATTTAAGTCAGTGGTACATGCCTGGCATTTTCTATAAGTAAAATACTACTTATGGATTCTACTTTATCTCTCACTCTAGTATATTTCTCATAGGTAGATCGAAAGATAATTAGTATAATTCTTATTTTATAAGCTTATATCACTAAATTCTGTCAATTATATCACTCAAAGACTTGTGTTATTATTCTGGGAGTTTTAAATCCTTCGATTGTAACTCAAGATGGGCGTTTAGGTATGTTCCCATGGGCGTGCCCACGGGCGTGCCCACGGGCATGCCCATGGACAAAGACACTTATAGCCAATCAGCTTATAATATATAGTGGGTCTACACTCAATTTACGATCTATCAGATCTATACAAAGCACCCCTTTTACTAGTAATCCTCGTTTCACACGGTCGCAAGTTACCTATTGTAAGTTCAGATCACTCACTCTCCTATAGTCGTTATATTATCCCTTACATCACATTAACCATGTCCCAACCTAGTGCCTATACCGCAGGGCCTTCTTCACTTCCTCCGAGCTCCCAACCAGACCTCTCCTACGTCGCCGATATATTTGATCCTAACCTTAATCCAAATATTGATCCCAGTCTCTTCAACAGCCAACAGACTTCTATCTCACTGATAGAGTCCGAGTTCACTCAACCGGCTATTCTTGATTGCTCTCTCAAACGCGTCGGCCCCGATCGGAGAAAGCAGTTTATCCTCTACGACGCGATGAACAACGCGTCCAAAGTAAAGTTTATCGAGTGGTGGCGTACCACAGTACGCGGCAGCAGTACTGAGACACAACAAAGGCTACGATAGGATGCAAAACACATATTAGATGTCTGGGAGAACTTCGACCAGGTAATGAATTCCCAATTCTTTCCAGTGTTGCTCGCGACATTCTCTCTATTCCTGCAACAGGCGCTAGAGTTGAACGTCTTTTCAATTTAGCACGGGATGTCTGCCACTACCGACGTGGGCGGCTGAGTACGAAGACAGTCCAGGATATCATAATGTTCCGGTATAAAACCCAGTTCGACATTGAAATAGAAGAACTACCCGATGAGGATACGTCCTTGGATTCAATGCAAGAAGCAGACGAACAGAGAGAGGCTAAGCTTACCACTGACATGCCTGAACCAATCAGCGATAGTGAGGATTCCGAGGATAATGATCCTGTTGGACTGATCGAGTATGAGTTTATGATGGAGAGTCAGCTTCCTCGTCCTTCTATAGTGCTAAGTACGCGGAAGCGACAGAGAAGTGAGCTAGTCGACAGCGAAGATAAGAGCAGTCCTCATCTCCCTCATTATGGAGATAAGGGTAGCACTCAAAAGCGCCCTGGTTTAAGAGAAGCAAGGAAGCGTGGCAAACCTAATAATGATCAATTTGTATCGTATTAGTGTAAATATATGAATATAATGAATGCCTAAGTCATTATGCAAAGGCTTCCAAGGCTTATTTCTGACCCCGGTCAAAAAAGTGACAATGTGTCAAGTTGTTGTATAAAGGCTTCTAAAGCTCATTTCTGACCTCGGTCAGAAAATTGACAGTAGTATCAAGTCATTGTACATGTAATCGAATTACTCAAAAATACAGAGAAAAAAATGCACAAATAATGCAGGTCACGAGGTCAAGAAATTCTGCTTACTAAAAAGGCCCATGGGCGCCCACGGTGTCCATGGACAATGGGCCCTAAGGGTAGGGCCCGTCCATGGGCGTATGGATAGTGCCCATCGCCCGCTTACATAAGGCCCGTGGGCACTGCCCACCCGCCCGTCCATGGGCGATGTCGCAGTCTAGGGAGAAATCGATAGAAATCGCGAGATGTACACCAATCTTCGTGTCGCGTATTACTTTGGCAGAGGTTTACTGGGTCGGCCGGGGCGGTAAGACCTTGGCGGTGTAGTGGGCCTGCCTAGGTAGGAGGACCCGATTTTGGATGGGTGACTCGGTCATGCAGGAATTACGCTAATTGTTGACGTAATCCCCGGCCGTCCTGCGCACCGCAAACACACATTAATTCCGATATCTTTATTCCAACAAAAGATATGACTTTGCATTGTTTTCAGAGTATTAGTTCTTCTATGCTTAATATATTATGCTAAATATATCTAGGTGTTGAGATATAATGTTGTAGTAGCGAGATGGCCGGGAGTTCCGTTCTAATTCCCGCTTAGTCATGTTCCGACTACAACAGAAATGAAATTGGACCAGTCGTTACTAGACTGCGACATCGCCCGTCCATGGGCACCTAGAAGGTGCCCATCGCCCGTCCACGGTGGGCCTTGGGCTATTTGGATTTTCGAGTGCCCGTCCATAACGCCCAAGGCCCACGGGCATGCCCACGGCGGGCATGCCCACGATGCCCACCATTATATAAAGTTGTCTTAAATATATATAAAAATTAGATATATAGTAAATTATAGTATATATATTTATATATATCTTATTAAAAATCCGGAATTATGATTGTAAATATATAAAAAATATAAATTTAGTTGAAATATTTTGAAATCTGTCAATTAAAATCACGTGTTGCGCTAATTTTGCTTACTAAAAAGGCCCACGGGCGCCCACGGTGTCCATGGACAATGGGCCCTAAGGGTAGGGCCCGTCCATGGGCGTATTGATAGTGCCCATCGCCCGCTTACATAAGGCCCGTGGGCACTGCCCACCCGCCCGTCCATGGGCGATGTCGCAGTCTAGTCGTTACTTTGAGGCAAAGGGCCTAGAGTACACTCAAGAATTTTAAATGGTACAGCATGATAGTGAATGAATTTTTAGACAATGATGAAGCCATCTGGGCTATGGAGATGAGGAGCTCAAGGCCTAGACTTACGGGTCAAGGGCTTTATCTCGGACCAGAGCTGAATTAAGCGATCCGCTTCCCGGAGATCCGAAAAGCCGAGGTACATATGCGGGCCTTCTCCAAATCCAGTTTCTGCATTACTAATTCTCACGGACGCAAACGGAAAATCCGATGGGCAACCCCTTCCTTATATTTCTGCCCTGGTGCGTCTACTTGGTTATCAAAATGCATCTTCAAAGGGGCCCGATGGGGTGCTGCTTTGATTTCCGCATCCTCGAGAAATTATATTAAGATCCAGAACATAGATTATTTCAGTGAATCCGTGATCAGCGTACTCTTAAACCTCCCAAAAGCCGAAATCCGAGAGAACCAATCAACTTTCTCATATTCCGAACCTCTCTCGGAAATTCTCTGATCAGGCTGTTTTTAAGGCCTGTTGGCCAATCGGCGAATCGGTCGGAACTGTTCTCTGGCAAATTCCCCAGGCCAAAAGTTCCTCCCAAGACTTGTCTCGGAAAAAAGAGCGACTTCTTTCCTACCCCTTGTTCAACCAATTAGCCCACCATGGACCACTCTCGGATCCCGTTGCCCCCAACGGAAGACAGCGCATCCCATATCTTGACGTTTCCCCAGGGGAGAAAACTGCCAGCCGTAAGTTAAGCGAGTTTCTCTTTTACAGTCTCATGCGCTAAGTTCTGTGAAAACCCATGAGTAGTGTGACTCATGCCACAGCAGAAAGGTATCTTCGGCTTCTGGCACTCATTACCTCTTCATCACTACAGGGCCTTTCTGAAATCTGGAATAATGACCTGCCTGGACAGATCAAATGTGACAGGGAACAAATCTGCCGCAGCTGCGCGGATAGTAAAATCCTTTATCTACGAACGCGTCGAAGGAAGCGCCGTACCATCCCGTTAAAGTGAGTCCGTTGCATGTCAATTTTTGAATGCAATTTACTAAGGTTGCTATCAGCAAGAAAAGTTATTCGACCAACCCACGGGCATTGTCGCAGAATCTTGGTGAGACCACAGCACCTGGCGATTTGGGCCATTTTTCTTGCTTCCATGCTGCCAATATCACAGACCGGGGATTCAACGGGGCAAAGTCCTCGGTAGACGAGGGGGATGAGATATCCCAGAACCGAGCCAACCCTCAGTTGACAGCTTCTTCGCGGGTTAATACCAGCCCGGTATTCATACCTGACGATCCTACCTCCGACCTAGTTGAAACCAGGGACTGCACAAGCAATTTGATTCGACAGGAGCTTGCTTCCCATGGAAACCTTTCCCCAGACCAAGTCCACATCCTTGAGTCAGCTCTCTCGCTTGTTGGGAAATTTGCGTCCTCATCCCATAGTGTAGAAGATACACAGGATGAGCACCATGCAGATAATGAAGTACCTTCGACGGAACTTCCAATGGAAGTGTTTTATATGTTACTTCACGGTTCGTTATTCTCCATTTTTTTCCCTTCCAAAGCCCGTAAATAACCCCAGCACCGTTCAAAGAAGGGCCTCTTGGTCAAGAATCTGGATGGTATGCGAACTGGCCGGATCACATCTCGCCCAAGATCTTGGAACGCAATTGCTTGGCCCTGGGTAACCTCACCGTGGGAAGCCAACTTGCTCTTCAATACACATTGTGTATCCTTTCTAAAGCCACAATATTTGTCAGTCGCTGGCTACGCTTCTGTACATCTGAAGGTTTGGTGGACCGTCTCGAGCGATCAAGAAGGTCGTACATCGCTTCCGGTCTCCGATGTTTGAAAGAGATTGATTTCACCAGGACACCAAGTCTCCCAATGCTCCAAGCACTACTCTCAGGTGTATGCGTCCCTCTTGAAAATGGTGCATGAGATCCCTCTTTGTTGCTAATAATTAACAGGCTTCTCTTGTACAGCTTCTCGGTGAAACTAGTCGCTCGTGGTTTTTGACTGCGTTAGCTGCTAGGAGCCTTGTGGCTCTAGGATATCACCACTTATCCCCAATTTTCCTTGCCAGCAACGACGGATCCGAAATTCGGCAGACTGTATATTGGTGCTATTACATGGATAAGACATTAAGCATGCTCCTGGTTCGACCATCCTCTTTACCGGACTTGCCGTTTGACCCAGCGACGTTGGTGCACCTCGACCCCAAGAACCCTTTGACTTATAAAGTAAAGATCCTGGTGCGACTCGCCCAAATCCAAGATTCCTATCTTGCTGCTCTGATTCGGAGGCAAAACAATCGCCCCTGCCCACCAGAGCTTGTGGAATCTCTTCGACTGAAGCTAGCTTCTGTTCGCCAAGACATCCTAGAGGTAAACTAACTAGTTGACACCTTATTCACCTCAGTCTAACTTTCTTCAGTCTCGCTCTCGATACATCCACCTACCTGCTCTCAAAGCTGAGTGGGATGCTGTTGACTTTACATACTTCTCGATAGCCACCACTGTCCTTCGTCTCAATTCAATATCCTTGCATGATCAGGCCACACGTGAAGAGTGTGTACAATATGCACGGAAAGCTCTGTGGTCAATGCAAGAGTGTTGTGCACTTATCTCTAGTAACTCAAAATTCACGACAGATTATCTTTTCTGGTAAGGTCGGCCCTTTCCCCCAAGAACCACAGCCTCATTAGAATATAGGACCGTCCTCTTGTACCCTCTTACTCCTTTCTTTGTGATCTTCTGCAATTTTGTTGCTACTTCAAATTTTCATGATCTAATGCTTCTGAAAGACGCCACTGCAACGATTTCTAGTATCCCAGAGCATTTCCTATTCAGCAAAAACCTTCAAAAATTGTTGAGTCAATTAATCGCTCTTTGTTCGCATCTTGAGACCCCATGGAAGCACACCCAGATTGACGAAAGGGAGAAAGATCCAGGACCAAGTTGCAAAACACCACAATTGCCTCTTCCTTCTCCCATTACGACATCAAATGGGGCCGTGATTAGTGAACTGTCTCATATGAGAACGACATCCGACACATCTGTTACACCGGGTACAAACATGAGTCCGCAGGTTACCCTTGCATCGTTTGGACAAGAAGGCGCTCATGCTGAACCAAAAAGAAACTCGATCTGGGATGACGAGCGGCTGTGGGAGTTGTTCAGCGTTCAGCCGTCTGTAGAATGGTTTGATTCAGACTACTTCACGAATTTCATAAGCAGCTAAGCTTGAACGGTCATGTCGACTCCCCTATCTAAGAATAATTGGACAATGTTATGGTGTTTTCAGATGAAGCAGCCTGGAGATCGTTGTAGTAGCAACCGCACTGTATCTTGACCCTGGGCCCCTTGTCTAATACTTTGACAGTTTCGCGATGGCCTCCAGATAAAGCAGCTGGAGCAGCGTCACCATAGTTGCCACCATGTGGGTTGAAGTTTACATGAACAGAGATTGAATTGAGGAGCATCCACGGCAGAAACCAAGCATGGCGAGAAGATAAGGTTTGAGACTAAGGGTACATGTTTGTTTTCTACCCTTTAATTACAGTAGCAGGCATCCGCGAAGAAATGTTTCTTATCGTTAAATTGACTTCTTTTGCTGATGAACGATGACACAGCCGCTGGTCATATTAGTACCAACGCAAGTTTGAATGTACGGTAGCTCTAATTGAGAATAGGAGGATCCCTCTGAGCGCTTTGCGTTCAGAAGATTCATACTTGTGCTCTCCAACTCGCCAGATTCAACGTATATTTGTATGCCACAGGTGCCGATCGTTTCTGCCCATAGGTAAATATAATGTCCCATGCTGGGGGCTTTGATATGTTGCCCCGCCCCCTGTGGGTGAAACCATACTCAACATAGCGGTACATCCAACAGTACACCAGCCAGTCAATTTTCGGGCCCTATACAAGTTCTCCCTAAACATACCGCAACTTTGAGGCATGTTTTCAGGTGTCACTCACCTAGCACCTTCCCAATCCCACTTGGCACAATCGACCTCCATGTATGCTCGTATTCTATAGACCCACCATCCAATTTCCCGGTCTACAGAAATGAGGGATTTGAGAACGTCACCCCGGTGCTATTGTTGGCCTTACTCACATTCAAGGTCCTCGCACTCCTTTTCTAGTGCCTCTTCACAAATAGGATCAGGTAAGTCGATTCCAAGACAGACAAATGGAGCTCCAAATCCTCGCAGAAGTCTCCAGGACCGTAATATATGTTTGCGCAAAGCCAAGAGCTCAGACATTGTCTTAAGGCCTGCCTGTCCTTATAGAATACCAGGCAAGGCCAAGCGGCTCAATCCACTCATGGTGTTGCATACTGTATTATGATCTGAGAGGTATTAAGATACCAATGTTTAGATATTCACATCCAAGGTAGGTATTTTATGAAATATCATACTCTAGAACGGGAAAGAGGTGTATGCCGTATCTTGTATGTTGAAAATACTCTCAGCCCATCTCCGCAATATCTTACTACTCCAACCATTTTACCACGGGTCTAGCCTTGGGCTGGGGAAAACGAAAGATATATTTACTGCAAGGAAAAAAGAATAACATGTGTTGATTGACAAGCAGTATCATAGATCCTTCACGACTCATGTTGTCTACTGCCATCTAGGTTGGGAAACGTACTTTCGAGAAAATTGGAGATCTGAGGTAACTCTAGGGTGAGGTCTAGATTGCCACCAAGAAGATCAACTGGCTCGACTGAAGGACCAGAAAGCTCGCCCATTTCACTCCGTGACAAATCCTGCAACCAGGGAAAGAGGGCATCGTCGAAAGGTTCCGACTGGAAAGAGTCGGCGGCGCAGGGAACGGCATCCATGAAACCAGAGCTCGCCATATTACTGGTACCGAGCTCGTTTGAATTTTCCTATAGCGAAGGCCGTGGCCAAGTTTCTTGCTGCGAATCATAGCATGCCGCCGGTTCAGATTCACTAGCAAAAAAGCCACCATTGCTGGTTGCAACTAGGTCAAGGATGATCTTCCGCGTTATTTGAATTGCAGGGAGCCTGGCCACCGAAATTCCGCGCTCAATGGCACACAGATAGCCGATGAGCATCGCACCGCGCGAGCCAATTCCTGATGTATCGGCCCGGGTAAGGAGCAATGTCTGAAGTTCGGCCAATCCCTTCCGTCGAGAAGAAATATTTGGAAACACTCTCTTTTGAGAGGCCGCATGGATAAGATCAAGGGATAGTACGATCCCTGCAGCAACAAGCCAAAGGGTGGTTGTCCACAAGCGATAGAACGTGGGTTGTAACCCACGGTTAGACAGATCTATTATTGTCTCAGAGGCCTGTATATAAGCTGTGTAAGATTTTCTGTAAGCTGAGTCTTTGAATAACCTCACAAAGTATGCTCTGTGGATTAAATATGTGCGGTAGGCGAGCAACATTCCTATCACTCTTCCGGTATTGACCAATCCTAGGGGAACAGCAGTTGATTGCATTGCGCGTTGCAAGTCTAGAGGAAGACTTTGGGATATCCGTTCGAGATCAAGCGATAAAGATAGAACTGCCTCATACGGGGGATTCTGATTAGGAAGAAGGTTTCCGTACAGTTTGTATAATATTTCTGACGATTTGCAGCATGCAAGAAAAAAGGTCAACGAATGTGTGCCAGAGCTATGGGCAGCAGATGCTCCGTTGTCTGTCAGATCTGGCAATACTGTATTAAATTGAGTGGGGGAAATTGCTATTATGAAAGGTGTCAGTGAGCGTTATAAGGAAACTAACGACTTTAACTGACATGTATATCGGTGATATGGCAAAAAGTACCATTCTGCCTCGACAATGTGCCACCACACACGGCGACCTATCTCGCGTTGAAGAAGATTTTCCTCTGAAAGAGCTTGGGAATTACCCAAAATGTGCAAGTTCATTGCCCGGGCCATGCCGAGGACAAGGCTACCCATGGAAACATGGATGAGCGTATTCCCCGACAAATGAAACGCATGATTCAATGTCAGAATTGTCTCACAGGCTGTAAGAGAAGGATGAGTCAATCCATTACACCGAAAGAAGGTGGCAACGCTACTATCGAACCAAACTTTAGAAAGTCTTTACAGCTCTTGATGGTCGAACCCTCTCAATTGAGCCTGCTCCTCGTCCAAGAAGAATGCCGATGTACTCAGCACGGCGAAGAGTAGTGCTAGCACCATACCATCCTGTGGTTTCTGCTGCTCGTAATCTGTCCAAAAGGTATCATGCTGTTGTACCAAAGTAGGCTGATGCAAGCATGCACACAGATAGTCAAGGTGCTCACAGTACCATTTGAGCAGTTTTTGAGATTCATGCCGCCGCGGAAGGGCCAGCAGACATGTTGAGAATGGTATAGACGAGAACCATCGAGAAGGCACAGACTCTGAGGGTCTCCTGCCCGCAAGTAAAAGCGAACTACCCTGCCATCTCCGCTTTTCTCCAATCCCCAGCGCAGCTTCTTCTATGGCACCGGCAAGCCCATTCTCATTGAACTCCTCGGCATCGGTAAACTGAGGTTGCGGCGTACTGCTCCGTAGTGAGATAGCAGACTCTACCCGCTCCAACCGGCTGCGTAGGCTGTCGAGCTCAGCCTGAATCGCAGGCGGCACCGTCGAGCTGTATCTCGTCTGAACTTGATGCTTGGCTGGCAAAGGCAGCTGCCGGCGACACAATTCTGCCTCGCCCCTCTCTATACAAGCGCGGCATGGTATTTTTCTGTCACATTTAATCTTGCGCCGGCTGCATTCGCGGCAACTTTTAAGACATCTCTGTCGTGGCTCTTTATGTAGGCTTGTCTCAGTATTTTCTTCTTCGGTTAGGCTAGACACTGCGGAAAGCCTCGGTTGGATAAGGGGGTAAGAGTCTGGCATGGTGAAAATTCCATCAAGCACAATAGTTACCCTTGTTCGCTCCGTCTCTGATTCTGCCCGCTACGGTAATAATCAAAGGCGGTGAGATTTTCTAAGCGAGCTGACCGGATGGATCCCATTTACAGCGGACTTATTACGGAGTATAGGGATCACACAAGCCCACATCCCAATGCCTTCACCGCTTCTTCACCGCCTCTTCTTCCGCCCTCATATCTAACTACCCTCATGCCGATGTAGCTTATCCGTGCCTTTCTGCCCGCCCAAACTGTTGCCTCGGCTATGCGGGATTCATCAAAATCGCTAGATTTACGCATCTTTAGTGGTTGAATTGGCAAGTAGGCTACTAGTACAAAAATGCCCGGGGTTGCGGAAAGCCCAGGAACCCGGCCCCCCAAACCCGGTTAAGAGTGATTATAAAGAAATGAGAAGGAAGCAATTCTCATGCGACTGGCAATATCTGAGTTCAGCAATTTAACTAGGTATGTACGGATATTCAGGCTCGGATCAGAAGAGATTTCAAACTTGTTCTTTCTAACTAGTAAAACATGAGGGTTTTATAATATGATGGGGAAATTCAATCAACAAGAAGGAAAGTAGAATGTTGGGATTCCCATTGCTTCTCCTTCGAAAGACGGATAATCAATGCGATCATTGAGGATCAATATAAAAAGCAAAGGATCTTGGTGTGCAGTGTAGATCAGATTGCATCTTTATGGTCGATGCGTACCAACTGATCTACACGCATATGTATATGCCCACAATTTCTTTTTATATTAATATTTAATTCAGGGTATAATAAGTACAGGAGCTTAAAGTGTTAAAAGAATATAAGACAAGACTAATAATATTATAGTTCTATCGATCAGTGATCCTAGAAGAGATCCACAAGAGGCCTATAGAATCTGTCAGCATGTGTACTATGAGGAACCGGACCCTGAACAATACGTGACCATTTATATCTAAGGAAAGCTGAATTTGACGCATTTTTGGTTCATTAGGTCTATCATGTGACCGTATCCGTCCTTGGGCGCCCACCTAAAGTCCGACAGAATCTAACTCAATCGATACTTGCAATGATAAGCTAGAGTTACCAGGGAATATATGAGTACGGGTTTAAGGAGAAAGCGAAAGGCTATGGAGGCTAATACATTCATAAAGATTTAAAAAAGAGCATTATGACTTAATGATAATTTTGTCTTTTTATTCGGTCGTAGTATATAGGAGGAATCCTGAATTTTACAATTAGTTAGTTAGTTAAACCGTATGTATTACTTAAGCAGTCACGTGGATAAAGTGCACAATGTTATGACTAGACTGCGGCACGGTTTTGGTTGCGGTCTTAGGTTGAAGACCAAAATCAAAAACTTGCGGTTGCGGTTAGCAAGGTAAAAACCGCAACCAAAACTCTTTGGTTTTGGTTAACACTTTACCAACCAAAACCGAACCCGCAAATTTGCGGTTAACCAAAACCATAGTGCGGTTAACCAACGGTTAACCGTAAATACATAATTTTCAAAAATCCTTCCTATTTTAGTAGTTTCGTGATCTTTATGCAGCTATCTAATAATGCATTTTTACACCATGTTTTGGTTCTTACAGGCAGATTATGTTAATACTACTAATTAACTTTGGAAAGATTTTGAAATCGAATTGTATTTAAGTCTGATTAGTGTATATTAATTGAGTATTAGTATAGATTTATCTAGAACGGTAAGTGGATAGTGGTAAATGTGTGGTTATAGATGCTTTTGAGACTTGGTCGGCTTTGCTGCGGAAATATATATCGAACACTGTAAGGGAGTCATTCTATTTCTGAGTAAACTAACATTTGAAACCTCGATTTCTCCTAATTTACCTCCAATGATAATTTATCCTAAATATAATATAGAGTTAGCCAAAATTAAGTTTTTAATGGCTTTCTATTGAATAAAATCCTATAAAAAATAGAAGTAAATCATGAGTTTTAATGATCAGTTAAAGTAGCATATGGTTAACGTATTCGGTAAGCGAGTCGGCCATGTAAGCCAGCCGGCCACCCCCAAAACATATAGTAAATGCGATAAATTACAACTTGGTATCTCAACAACAGTAGTCTATATAAAGATTCCCTTATAGTCTAATGCTTTCTAGGTAATATCTAGTCTCTCTAGGGAGTTTGGGAAATATATATGACTTTGTTGTTAAGATATATATATTTCTGGCTTTTGGCAACGTAATTTTCAATACCATGATAATGTACCTTTTCGATTTCCTTAAGATTGATATATAGTATTCAAAATCCTTATCAATAGCTATCGACAAGTAGTGAAATCAAATAAAAGTATTGGCGTTGAGATATCAAGTTATAATTTATCGCACTTACTATGTGTTTTGGGGTGGCCGGCTGGCTTACATGGCCGACTCGCTTACCGAATACGTTAGTTTGCGGTTAGTTTGTGGTCTTTGCGGTTACCTAGCGGTTATCCAATAGTTAACCAAGAAATAACCGTACTACTAGATAGCGGGAACCAATTAGCTTACAGGATTAACCAGCAAACTATAATTGCTTTTGATATCTATTGATTCCCCCCGGTCGCAACTTATTCCCTTTCATCCCAAAGCGAATCCCTAGTAAGTTTCCTTTTCTCCCAACTAGACCCCTACTACTTCGGCCTTTCTTCATAATGGCTTATTCTCAAGTATCTGGTTTTACCGATCAGTTTTCTGAGGCTGACTTTCTACAGTCAGACGATCTACCTACCCCTAGCAATACCTGCCGAACAGCCACGTCGGTTGCCCTGTCTGATCCTCGCCAGTCTTCCCAACAGCTAGCACCATCCTCGTTAAAACGCGTTGGCCCTCGGTTCCACCAGATCTGGATACTGTACGATACAAATCCTGAGATGGAGCAATCCCGCTTACAATTTACGGAATGGTGGCTACAGACCGAGTTCGGAGTAAAGGAGGATGCTAGAGCTTCGATCGGCTGGGATAATGAGAAAAGATCAAGTGTTTAGGATGAATTTGACCAAGTTGCACACGAGAAGACTGGCGAGCCAAAGATCATGTGCAAGCGCTGCCACACTACCCTTACTCATCCCCAGTTACGCCGCGGAGGAACAAGCCCGATGAATACGCATCTTAAAAGTACTACTTGCAAGCCTGGGCTGCAAAGAAGAGGGATTGATCAGCTACTACTCCAATCGGTCAGTTTAAAAGTTATCTCATTCTTCTACCACTATTTACTAACTCTCTTCTTATTCAGCCCCAGACTCGATCGCCACAGTCCTTCTCTGAAGATCTTCTTATCCACCATCTTCTCCAGCTCATCACTATTGCCCGACTCCCATTCCGTATACTTAAGCGTCCTGAGTTCCAACAACTTTGTGATGTCATTCAACTAGCTCCTTCCAAGATTAAACTACCCTCTGCTCGGTCTATTCGTCGTCGGCTAGACCTAGAGGTTCAACAAGAACAACAGAGTGTGCTTGATAAGTTACCACAAGAGAGCAGACTCTCAATTGCATTAGACTGCTGGACATCACCCTTTTCCCAAGCATTCATGGCAATTACTGGCTATTTCCTCGATAATGACTGGGAGTATCGTGAGGTCCTTCTTGGGTTTGAGCCACTACATGGTCCACATACTGGAAGCAATTTAAGTTCCGTCGTTATCAACATTCTTGAAAAACACCAGATCACTGATCGGATATTATCGATCACGACAGATAATGCAACGAACAACAATACCATGATTAATAGCATCCAAGAAGAGATCAAGGTACAAGGGATTGGTGACACAGGGGTCTTTCGGATTCCATGTCTCGCCCATGTGATTCAGCTGAGTCTTAATCAATTACTGGGGAAAATGAAGGCAACACCCATTAATGATGAGACTGAGATTGAGTGGTCGGATGAGCGTGCATACTCAACACATCCTAAGCGCACAAACAGAGAGATAGTTGATACTCTGAATAAGGTAAGTCTTCCTTCCTCTCTTTTACTACCAGATCACTAACTTCTCACTCTATACCTAGATTCGGAACCTTGCTATCTTCATCAATGCAAGCCCACAGCGCCGCGAAGCCTTTTTAGGCCTTCAGACCGAAGAGCCTCATCTACTCCCTATTCAGGATGTCCGTACACGATAGAATTCTACCTTTCTAATGCTCGGCCGTGCAAAGCGACTACAGAAGACCTTCAAACGATACTGTCAAACCCATGGATACCCCCAATTCCGCCTTGACAAAGAGGAGTGGCGCCAGGTCGACTACCTACTTTGTATCACCCAGCCGTTCTTCAAGTTCACTACTGCTCTTTCAAAGTCAAAGGATATCACTATTCATCTCATCTTTAGCATCTACAATAAGCTCTTCAGTCACCTTGAGGCCTCCGAAGAGCAGCTTCGCCGGAAGAGGATTCCCTGGAAGCAAACTATGCTTCAAGCACTTCAAGCAGCAAGGGAAAAGCTCTCAGAGTACTATAAGATGACTGACCATGAGTGCTATAGTGATATTTACGCAATTGCAACGATCCTGGCACCTTCGAAGAAGCTTCGCTTCTTTAAAACCAAGGATTGGCAAAGTGATGTTGACTACGCTGGACGATACCGTGGTCGATTGGAGGAGGAATTCTGGCGTTATAAGAGACGGCTTTCAGACAACAATAGCCCTCTATCACTTAGGGCTTTAGCTGGTTCACTCAATACCGTGGATGAGATTGAGATGCTTTGTGACTCCCAGAATGCTCTTCAACCGGAGGAGCCCCAAGGGAACAATGATGACGAGCTTAATCGCTATCTTGCTAAAGGTAAGCCCCTACCTATGCACAAAGAAACTCGAGAAATTAGAACTAATAAGCTAGGACTGATATCTCAACATCCTCGCATGTTCTGGAAGGAGCATCAACAAGAGTTTCCAATTCTTGCAGCCCTTGCACGGGATATCTTGTCTATTCCTGCTAGTGGTGCTGGTGTAGAGCGTCTGTTTAATTACGCGCGTGATATCTGTCATTATCGACGTGGGCAATTAAAATCGGAGACAGTTAAAGCGCTAATGCTTCATATGTGTGCAACAAAATTTGAGGTTGAACAAAGGGAGATTGATTTCACTAAACAGCTCATTTCAGTTGGGGAGTCAGCTCTTCTTGAACAGGAGACAGGCTCATTACCACCCCTCCCTTCTCTGGATCCTATCAGTGATAGTGAGGAGGCCGAAGATGAAGATACAGTGACTGAGATTCCCTCTCAGCTGCAGCCTCAGGTTCAGAGTGAAAATACTAGACCCAAGAGACCTCGGAGTAGAAGCACTCAATCCCAGGAGGAAGTCATACCTGAACCGGCTGATCTGGAGAATACACAACGACCTAGTCGAGTACGGAAGAAGACCAGGATGCCAGAAGGATTTGAAATCGGAACCCCATAAGTGTATAATAAATCAAAGAAGTGCACTATTATATTAAATTATTTATTTACAAAAAAAGTTGACTTGCGTAAGATACTCTATACTGACGAGATACTAGAAAAATACCAAAAAGACTGCATAAAAAATCATCTAACCAAAAGGTCACGAGGCTTAGCCTGTTTGCTATGTTTATCTAACCATTGGTTAACCAAAACCAAATGGTTTTGGATATGGTTGCGGTTAACCATGGTCTTTGCGGTTAGTGCCGCAGTCTAGTTATGACGAACCTAGCTTGGGTTACTTGGGGCTCCAGTACTGGGTTGGAGGGTTGGAGATCAGGCCTTGAAACCTAACCCAGATTGGGTCTGGGTTTTTGGGGTTTTGCAGAAGCCTGCTACCTATGGCTGAGCGCAGGTATATCAATACAACTTAGCATCCCCCATCAAAAGAATTCGGCCTTGACCTCAAACTAGTAACGTAAGACCCTCCCACATGGCTATTCTAGATTCTGATCTGACATTTATATAGATCATAGTACCGGTTCAGAAGATCCACAATATCTGATCAAGAAACCTCGAGGTTTTGGGATCTTAGGCGGGGTGTTTGGCCCACTGGGCCCCTCCCCTGTTGAGTCGGAATAAATTAGGAAGTAATCCAGCAAATACTGGAGTTAAGTAATTTGGCTAAGTTGCATACGATAACGAGTCTCAGAGCAGAAACGGAAGAGAATTCAAACTTGTTCTTTCTAAGTGGTAAAACATATAACTTTGCCAAAATGGTGAAAATTCAATTGGCAAGAAGGAAAATAGGAACGTTGAATTCCTCATCCGAAAGTGTGAACGTTGAGGATCAACATAAAAAAAGTAAAGGATTCTGACATTTATATTTGCTGTGTAGATCAAATTGCGTTCTGGTGATGCTTTTTTGGCTTTCTGCGGGAAATACAGTGGCCATAGGAATTGGGCATGACCGCGCAATGCTAAATAGATTTAGCAATTCGGCAACACACACCCTCATGCCGACAATCAAATAACGTGAGGCTCGGAGAATTACTCGCGTTTTCCATGCACCGTATAACGCCAGATAGAGTTGAGAAGGCTAGCCGATTTTTTGGGAATGCGCTTATATCCGGCCTCACGATCCACAAATGTGACTCCGAATCGCGGCTGGTAGCCGTTGTGCCATTCAAGATTGCTATATTGGCTGTTAGTGGTGAAATAAAGGCCAGGCTTGTAATTCAGAAACAGCACACCACTCACTCGAGGAGACTCCAGGCGTGATATCCTGCAACCTGCACCCCATCCATTTTCACTGCGTCACACAGGGCCTGGAAGTAATTGTTGTAGTACTCCTGTCGAGCGGTATCGTCTATAATAGACTCAATAGCCATGCTGCTTTCATTTTCCATGGCATATCCGTTTTCATAGACAATGATGGGAATGTCTAATGCTTTGGCAAAATGATCCCAACAATAGACAAGCACCTTTCTGAAGCCCCAGGGAACTATTGACCATTTCTTAGCTCTGCGACACACCGTAGGACGACTGACTCACCAGTATGCGGGTGGCCGTTATGGCCTCGTCTCCCGATTAATATTCCATCTTTTGTCCATGACTTCTCTACTTCATCCATAGTCCATATATCCAGCTTAGATCCAGGCTCTAGGATCCTCCCTGTAGCGTAAGACGTTCCATAATGATTCACAGAGAAGCTAGATCAGATAGGCGCCGTGCATAAGCGACTGAATATCCGGTAAGGCGAATTGGGACACTCACAAGTCTGCAGAACCATTTAACATTTGCAACTCTTCCTCGGAGAATCGAGGAAAAATGTCACTGTGGCGATCCCAAGCATTCGTCTGCGTACCGAGAACTATCCAGTTTGTAAGTGATAGATCATTTTGCTACGGCCAATGACCTACAGATAGGCTTCGCAAACTATATGTCCATTAAAATTGTCAGTTTATAGCCTGCAAAGAAAGTGCTATAGGGGTCTTTACCCAATCAATGCATCTCTCTGTGGCGAGATTAGCAGCCTGCACAGCCGCAGGGGATTCATCAACAGGCTCTACCCATTCCATATTCTGTATGAAGTCAGTATATGCATAGGGTGTGATGGGCTCCTTAGAGAGGACGGAAGGTATCGCACCAGAGCAATCCCAATCTGACCGTCCTGTGTCATTTTAAACTCTTCACGATAAAGACGAGCGACGTGGCCATGAACGAGTATACAGTTGTGTCCAACCCTTTTCTTGTTAGTCATATCGTGCACCGGGGCTCCCCAGTCAACTTTGCCCACCTGAAAAAGTCGGGTTGAGTCCAGTCTTCAGCAAGACCCAAAGAGTACAATATCGTAAAGATCCAAGGCTTGATTGCAACGTTAGGAAATCTTAGTTTGTGGAAAGGAAAGTCACACACCTCGTTGATGGTTAACTATCGTTTCACCCGGTCACCGAAGGTCTCGAAGCAGAGCCTCGCAAATGAACAGAAATCTTCAACCAATTCTCCACTGTCGGCTGCCGCAAACCCTCTGTACCGTCTCTGGAGTGACAATGGAACGTCATAATGGAACAAAGTGACCGTCGGCTCGATTCCAGCTTCCAAAAGCCCATCGATCTAAAAGTTTAGCTTGCAATCGTGGAGATATTATGAACAGAAGTACGCACGAGGTCATTGTAATACTTGATTCCTTCATGGTTAACCTCGTCTTTCCTGCCTCCTGGTCGCGGTCCTGTTAGCTAAATGATGTATAAAGGACCTGCAGTGACCTTGACGTACCGAGAGGCTTGATTCGCGACCACGATATGGAGAATCGATATGAATTAGCCCCATACTGCTTGAGAAGTTCGATATCATTTCTCCACAAATGATATGAGTTGCAGGCAGTGTCACCATTTTCCGGCGAATCTCTCAAGAACTCATCCCAAATGGATGCCCCACGGCCACCCTGAGAAGTTGCGCCTTCGATTTGGTAGGCTGCCGATCTGAGTAGCGATTACTAGAGGTCAGAGAAATGAAAACAGGTTTGAGGATTCTCAAAGCTGGGTTTACCTACGCATAGCCGTGAAGAAAGGTTGCTGGTAGAATGCTGGAGTACTCCGGATTCTCTGAGAGTTTGGCGAACGTCATCCTGTGTCTGGCTGTTGTATTGAACTCCGTATGTCTCGTTCTGCTGCCAGCTATTTGTACCCGAAAACTTCGGAGGAGGAGCATATTTGTAGGAAATAATAGCTTATGATATTATGATACTTTCCGAGAAAGGAAGGACGTACTTGGTAACGGGCCCGGCGGGTCCGGCGGGTCCGTTGCATAAGTTAGTCCAATAACTTACTGTTCATGGTCAGGAGTGGTCGAACTCGGGACTCTGTTCCGACAACACCCGCAGACTCCGAGGCTCCCCACAACCATATCGGGTCTCTCCACCTACGTCGGGCCCGTCGGGTCCGTCGGACTCGTCCGCCTTATCAGTTACGAGGTATGAGTGACACTCACCTCAGTTTCTCCAACCTACTATCCCCGGTCGCATCTCGTAACCTAAGTTTGGGGCCCCGGACTGGATCCAGACCATATCCTGGAGAGGGTGGGGGACGGCCGCACCGTTGGAGACGCCACTTTGCCCCTTATTTTCTATAAAGAGTTCAATTCGCCTGTTAAGAAATTTTCTGTCACGATAAGGTATTCCCAACCTTTCTATTTGCCCAGAATGTTCGACTACCTCGCAGGAACGACAGTGACCGGCTTTTTCTGTATGGGCTTAGCGTCTGCAGGAGCACTGCTATTTGTATGTATTATTTTACCTTGGACTGCCGCGATATACGTGGCAGATATAGTAACAACGACAATAGGGTATTGACAATGGCTGGTGGGGGACCCTGCTTGGAGCGGAGGAATTTCTTCGAACCTATGGGTCTTGCGAGACTGTGAATGGTGTACATCTCTGCTCTTTATCGACTGCGCAACAGTCTGCAGGGAGCTCAGTTCAGTCAGCTGGGATAAGTATGGTTATCAAGCTCTTGGTTGGCCTCGGAGAGTTCTAATTCTTTTTTTCTGCAGTGGCTGGCTCGTTGATCTCAATATCCGTAAATAACTGGCTCGGCCGCAGGAATTCTCTCCTCGTGACAGGGGTCATTTCTATCATCGGAGTACTTATCGAAATTACAAGTGCCGTCGGCGCGTCAGCGCGCTTCTCACAGCTTGTGGTTGGCAAGACTATCGCAGCTCTAGCAATGGGACTTTGTGCGAATGTCGTCCCTATTTATCTTTCGGAGACTTCCACAGCCACCGCTCGAGGCTTTGCAGTCACTATGTATTCGAACGCGCAGGTACTTGGTTCCATTGTGGCCGCGGGCACGGTATATGCGACCTCAAAGCGAATGGATGCAGGCTGTTACTATATTCCGATTGGCATCCAGCTTCTTCCACCACTTTGTATGATCATCGGCTCACCATTTCTTCCTGAGAGCCCCAGGTGGCTTGTACTTAAAGGGTGAGCATCTACCTTCTTTCCTCATCAGCGTCTTATTTTCCAATACACTACTGAGACAATCATCAACCGAGTAGTCAAACCGAGCGTGCTGTTGTTGCTTCTAGCAGGCTTTTCGCTTCGAAAAGAAACAATTTTGATGCCCAGGCTTACGTACGAACAATTGAAGTGGCGATTGAAGAAGAACGCCTTAGTCAACAGTCTTCGGGCTGGATGGACCTACTTCGTGGATCCGACCTCCGCCGTTTACTTATTGCAATCGGTGTTCAGTGTCTGTGTCAAGCGCAGGGATCAACCTATATCCTGAACTACGTTGTCTCATTCCTCAAGTCAGCTGGTATCGCCGATGTCTTCCCAGTCATCATGGGTATTTACTCTCTTTATTATGTAGGTATCCTGGGGGGACATTATTTGCCTGATCGGTTCGGCCGTCGCTCCTTACTTATGTCGACTGCCGGAATTTGTGGGGTGTGTCTTTTAACTATTGCCATTATGATCACTGCAATTGCCTCACCCACCGCTGCTTCCCGCAAAGCGGCTATTGCCTTGATCTTTATCTGGGAATTAATGTTTGCAGTTCAAAGCACTGTCATTTGGATCGTCACCACGGAGTGCGCTCCTTCTCGAAACCGGGAAAAGGTGCTGGCAATTGCCGTCTTTTTCGGGTTTGGAATTTCCCTGTTAGTTGCTTCGGTCTCTCCGTACCTCCAGGATGAAGCCTATGGCAATTTAGGTGGTAAAATTGTAAGTTCCATATACCTTCATCTAGAAATGTCAACTAACATATCCAGGGTTTCATATGGGGGACATTCTCAATAATCGCTGTTATTTGGACTTTTTTCACAGTTCCTGAGATGAAAGGTTTCTCTCTAGAGGAACTTGATCACCTGTTCAACCGCCAGGTCCCTACACTAAGATTCAAAAGATATCAGTTTCCGGTCGAGAATGGTCCCGAGAAATGATTGGATGTTCTCTGTGAAGCTCAGAACGCAGACTATTTAAAGTGCAACTTTGGGCTTGGTGATTAAATATATCGACAAAAAGAACCAGAAGAGCATTGTGAGAAGTGCGAATGCAGTAGCTTGAGCTCTCCTTGAAGTCCGAAACCTTTGTCATTAGATGGTTGCTTAACAAAATTCGTATATCGACGACCGGCCCTATTCCCTGTTGTCAATTGGTATGCACTACCCCTACCAATCGTTGAAAATCTGGCGTTCATAGTGATCCGGCCTTGGCATTGTTCGCTTCTCTTCCTGGTGGCGTGGATAAGTTTAGTCTTCTCCGCTGTGAAGCTAGAACCCGTCCCTAGAGCCTATGCTTCGAACCGTGGTATGTCCTCGGATTGGATTCTCACTAAGTTTTCTTCGGCGGTCTAGCCAACCCGCCAGCAGAAATAATCGCCGATGAAGGCTATGCCCCGCCGTGGAAGTCGAGGGGCTGATCGGATAGGTCGCAGTTGAAGAAAGCGAAGAGTATAGGTGATAAGGGGGAGCCTTACGCCAGTCTAGCATTGTGAAGTGGTGTTATGTCCGAACTATAGTCATCGAATTTAATGTTGGCCCGTCGTCCGGAGCGTTCTGCGAGTTAGGACAGTAGCTTAGCTATAACTGCCTCTAGTAGTCTACCGAGAGTATTAAGAAGTGAAATTGGGGGATAGGCCCCTGGAAGTGATTAATCTGGTTTCCCGGGTTTTCGTAAAACAACAATGCGGGCGCTCCTCTATCATTGGGAGTAATATCCTAGCTTGATCGATGCTACGAATATCCTAGTGATGAAGTATCCTAGGTGTCTCTATAGACATTTTCAGATCAGAATAGGGAGAATGTCTTCCCATATCTTGATTATTCTCTCCTCACCAACATCATCCAGTGGCATATTTACTATGCGCACTACGACCTTCCCTTTACCCACGGCAAAGACCCAACAAAGACTCTATACACTATGTCTAACAAAAATTAGGGCTCGCTAAGGGAAATCTATGTGTTTACTTGAATGAACATAAGAAGGAATTCCTAGTACTTACGAGACTACCGTAGCACAAGATACTCCCTTGATTCCTGCTAGTGGAGCTAGGGCTAAAGCGTTTACTTAATACTTACGATAACAGGGCGTCCGGAAGAATCCGGGTCGATGGGGACACAAGTCGAAAATACTGCTGAGTAAATCATACCGCGCGCCAAATGGAAATCAACAAGTCTGAATTGCTATAGTGCCCCTAGCTGGCAATTTAAGTTATGTGGGGATGATAATGACTAATACTTGTGGGAGATCATCTTCCGTTCTCCACTGCTGCTACTGTTCCGTCAACACTCAAGGCTGGCATCAGCGAAGTTTTTCAAGTAGACGATTGATGGCCAAAGCAGTGCCATGCACATCTTCAATGATTATCATGTGGCCGGTGTTGAGGAGGTACCGAAGCGGGGTTTTCCCAGAATTTGCGATCAACCCAACGAGCTCGTCTGTGACATGCACAGGAGAGATATTATCCGCCAGTCCCCCTATCACACATGTCGGGCAGGTGATCGATGAATAGTTTGGATCAACATGGGTGTCGTCACATAAAGCATCGCACATCTGCGCATATCCTTCTGGATTGGTTTGAGAGGTGACAGCTCGGAGGAGAGCGCGAGAAAGCCCAGCAGTTCCTGGTGGTATGTTGTAATCCACCCTCTCGTCAACATCCCAAAAAAGACCCCTTGATCGGGCTGCGCGAGAGAGTTGCAGCGTGAAGCTCTTGGCGGGACATTCGACTGCTCTAGTTCTACCAGCCCCGATGACAAAGAGGGCGTCCACCCGACCTGAAAACTGGGCTGCAAACATCATGCTGACAATACCACCTGCACTGTGTCCCACTAATATAGCTGAAGAAATTGTGAGATGATCCATCACGCCTCGAAGTATCGCTACAAGGATCGGCATTGTTACTTTCTCTGTCGTGTTGTTCAGACTGCTATGTCCATGGCCCGGCCAGTCGATTCGCACCACAGTGTGAGTCTTATAAAATATCTCCATAAGCGGATAGAAGACATTCGTATTTGCACCCAATCCGTGTGTCATGATCATATAAGGGCCATCGCCGTCAATTTCGACAAATACATCAAAACCGACGACGGAAATGATCGCAGACCTTCTTTGTTGATTTCTGAGCACACTCCCGGGTACAGTCACAGTTTTGTCGTTCATTGCTTGGGTCAAGTTTGAAGATTGGATTGATAAAGAAAGGGCGCGTATTGCTTGAAGATGGACCCGAGATAGACGAATCCTGGATTGAGATTGGTTTTTGGCAGGGAACACAGCTCATATCTATGAGTTGATATACCTTATTTTCGTAAAAAGAAATAAGAGCAGTGTGGCTATTCCCGCTAGCAGAAAGATCTGTTGGTAATCTCGGCCGAGAATAGTGTGGTGGGTTAATAATTGCTGGAGAGGAAAGAAACACAAATTTCGGCCGAGAATTCCCCATCAACATGTACCTTCGATTCATTGGTTTCTGGTCAACATGCGTCATTTGTCTTTTTTCAATGGCTTTCTATGAAATAGATTGATCGAAGCAAACTCCTCTTCAGACCTATAAAACGTTCCACTACCTACGCAGGGTTGATGCTCAGCAAGGCTAATAAAAATAGCGGTTTTGGAATCAAAGGTTTCTTCATTGTAAGCCTCGTGAAGCGGACGTACGAAAACCCAAACCGCTGGTTGGTGGTTCCAGTAAACTTGACATTAAACATCATTCCATCTCGCACCCGCCCACCTTTTACCCCAAAAGCAATGCCGAGAAGAGCCTCAACTCGCGACAAATGTCTTAAAGGAAGGCTACTGAAGCTTACAGTACAGTGGGGTTAAAAACGAACACTCGTTCGGCTGCCACATGGTCCATTAGAACTGTCCCGCGTTTTGCCCGGTCGCACCGGAAACCGTATGGACTGTTCGAATCTCTCTGCCCCCAATAAGGTCTCATTTAGAATTAAGCAATAGTCAGCTAAGCGAATAAGTTACGCTTGATGTTACGTTCACCTATAGAGGACTAGGGAATCACCAAACCGGGCAGCTCTTACTGTTAAAAATACTCCCTCTCGGCTTCACACTGCACGTCCTATCATCAATATTACGTGCAGAGTGTGATCATGTGGCCTAGTTCAAAAATAAAGAAGCTGTTGAATCATCTCTTTGTTAGGGGTATTTTTTTGAGATTCTGCCTCGTCTTCCACGACTTCTCATAAGTTTTCCTAATCGACATGAAAGTAGCCGTAGCTTGTCTGTGGGTTCCTGAAGTATGTGATATTCTACCAATCAGTGTCACCAAACATGGCCCCATGCACACCCATCTGAGAAGGTATCTGCAGATGTTGCAACACATCAAGCTTCACGTAAGAGATGATCTGCTCCAGGTTGAAATCGCCGTGATTTCCAAGTGATATAGTTTCTCTCAATTCCAATAAACACTCGATTATACGGGCGCCTTTTCTTGAAATTTGACTCCTTGTACTCGTATCTCGCAGCAAGTGCAATAGCCCCTGGACCAAATTTTGGATCTCGCCACTTTCAAACACACTGACCTCAGCAGAAGACGCGAAGATTTGTTCAAACAGAAGCGCGATAACTGCTGTTATAATATGCGTGTTTACCGTCCACATATTTCGGGCCGTCCAGGTGTATTCGTTCTCGGGAAGGGCAAGTATAGACTTAAGGCTGAGTCGAGCTATTGGGAGACAGGACAGCTTTTCATGTCATTAGTTATGTTGCTGGAAGGGGGGCAAGTTCGGATAATCAATTGAGCTACCCACCCTCGTGTAAGAGAACCAGGGATTTTGAAAGCAGGAGATCTGAAAATGGCGGTGAATACTCAGGAACTAGCGTGAGTGTAAGCACGAGATAGTTCGGCATCAGATCGCAAGATGCAGAAGCTTGGGTTACAAACTTTATGCGACAATGAAAGCTGTGTTACCTCTCTTTGCTGCACAATATGCGCAGGGAGGGTCTTATCTTGAGACACCTTTTCACGGAAGAAAATAGGCATTCGGCTGATGATCTTTCGTAGCTCAGTGTCGGCTATTATGATTTCTTCGTAGAGCCTACGTTCACCATCAGGCTCCCGATCGGGATGTCCTAGGAGACACAATCGATCTTGGGTTCTCCAGAGTAGAACGGCAACTAGAAAATCAGATTAGGTTTATAATTCGTAAGTTTCACTAATAATATCTCACCCTCATTCAGCACCGCCGTGTAACTGCCCTGAGTATATGTATCGATTCCACATTCGACCACGCCATCGTCGCCAATTTCAATCAATGAGTCAATGCAGTTTTTGGGTTTAGGTGTGTTGAATTGTGTTGGGTGGATCGTGTAAGTGTTTATGAAAGGTATTTGAAGCCAATCCTGGCGAATGAGGAACCACCACACCCTCTTGCTTATTTCGCGATCAGTCAGTTGCTTCTTTGCCTTTCCTCGTTCCGTTGACTTAACCACACTTCCTGTTTTATCTGATCCCAGACGGTGAATACCGAGCGACTGCGCGATGCGAATGGCGGAGCCCATCAGCGTGGAAATCAAATCTGATTCACCAAAGTTGTGCCCGCAATGGATGAGCATACAGATGGCTTGCACGGAGAAAATTGAATGGTTAACCATAAAATTTGAGGCGTGTAGGAATTCAATGCTTTTTTCATGTAGGTGTAATGCAAGTGGTTCTGACATACGGTTAGAAATGCAGGTTAACAATTCCATCAATACGAGCTTGAGCTTCCTTACGTTGATCGACAATTCCACATTGCTGCAACAAATCCGGCGACGTCAGGTATACAGTGCACTACCACAGATTAGTAAGAACGGATATCCCGGACAGGTGAAAAACATCGTAAGCTCACAGAAAGCACGGTATAATAGAGAGGTAGCCAGAGCGGGCTGATTGGAACCCCCGAATCCAGAAATGTGTCACATTGTTCACGAAATGTGGCCATATGAAGAATATTGTGCATCCAAGAAATGTTTTTCTCGTGGTAGTCCACCAACCAGAAAGCCTGAGCTGGCGTGACGATTGGATCAGCCATATTTGCGGAATGGGTTGGTAAAAAAGCCGGCGATCCCGTGCCCAAACCATGCCCAAGTCTCATGACATGCTGTCTACCGAGAGCAAGGAACTCGAGGGTGACTGCAGTATTCTGTCCAACACCTTTCATCAATCCACTTTGTGAGGTCAACGATGAGTGGGGGAAACGCCCTCGCTCAGAGCTACTCCTGGTTGTGTTGGGTGTTTCTCTAGGCACGGCTGTTGGGCTGACGGCTAGTGGGTCATTGTCGGAGCTGGGTGCCATTTGATCTGAATGCATGTATGGGCTAGTGGTATCTATTAACGGCATCCCTATGCCCTGTGGTGGTGAAGATTCAAGTGGACTAGAGGCAGAAAGAGGAACGTGGTGGAAATCATGAAGGACATCATCACCATCTCTCTGCTGCACATCACCCGAGGCGGTATCTTGATTTGATCGCATCGTTCTGTCTAGCTTATTAGCCTTTCTATTACGGAGCAAAACATTTTCTCGATAGCATAAGTGGCCAATGCCTCGATCCATACAAGCACCACACGGGATCACCTTAGAGCAGCGCAGCTTGCGACGAGCGCATTCTGTGCATGCTCGTGGTCGTCTCTGGGTGACACGTAGTGTCGAGGTAGAAATGATGTGATCAAAATTCTCCATGGCGATGAGAGACGGAAAACGGGAGAGTGAACGGAGTTCGGGCACGGCTGTCGCCGCATTCAAATATACCCGCGGCCGCGGGGAGCAATAACCGATATCCTATCACTTATCGCTGCAATCAACGTACCACGGGTTAGTGGTCTTGGCATGGTTAGGTAATCAACGTCACCAATTGTCCGCAAATATCTTATCAGGTCGTAGGATGGCCGTATGGACTTGTACAGAGGATAGTACATGAGTACTGAAATAAGCTAAGTTGAGGACCATCGTAAAATATGTATTATACAATACCACCGCGATCACGATTTCAGCGCCCAATATACTCCAGTCTCGTCCATGTTATACACATTCACCAGGAGAATGGCCGGATCAGCCAGTTCACGGCCAATGATGGCAAACCAGTGTCGGACTTTCTCCTCGATCTACCGATCATCCCACTTCCGATCGATCGCTCGTAGCCGTCGCGCTTTCAATTGCGGATGGCGCAAGTAAAAACCCTGCGGCCAATTCTTTCCCGGAGGCTGGATCTCGAGACTGCGACCTATAACCTAGAAAATCGAGGATCGTTGGCGCGCGATGACCGGAGCGAGCGATCGTAGAAACTTGACTGAGTGCGTTCTTCACCAACTGCAACACATACTCTAAGTTAACTTACCAGCGCCTGCTCCTCTTGAAGGGTGAGGTACTGCTGATTGACGGCTTTGTCGGCAACAGAAGGCTTTTTATTGGCCCGGCGCCACAAGGTTGATGCGGGAATCCCCGTCGACCTCGACCAGATTGCGTACGACGTCCATCTCTGGAGTTGATGGGTGGGAGACATCGGGACAATTTTGAGCGCAGTATGCTTGCTGCAAGGCGTCTACTGCTTCAAATCGAGTCATGAAACTGTGGGATCGTGAGAAGGTATTGGACTACAGTATATACCGCAACAATTAAAGCAAGTAAAGGATTCCAGGACATGTTACTGTATCTTAGATAAGTATTGAGACTGTTTTCACCTCTAGCTTAAATGAGATCATCTTGGAACATCTTCCACCGGTCGGAATCGGTGAATTCTATCAAAATCTTGAGAAGGCCAAAAGCCAGAGAGTCTTGATGTGTAACGTCAACACCCTCAACGAAATTTGAAGCTGGTGAAATTACCTGACTTACGGTTTTTTGATCACTGTGGATGGATCTGCCAGACTAACTCAACTGTCGCGTGTTCAACAGTCATAGTTCATTTCCGCGAATTCCGCCAATAGTGGTGATGCAGTCAGCATCCATGATTTGCTCAAATACCTCGCGGGTGTGATCGTTGAAGAATAGGTGACGATTTGAACACTGTTGATTAGGCATAGTTGGTTGCGCATAAATCAGTGATGAAACAAGGACAAGTATGACTTTTTATCAACAGCCTGTAGACAAAGCCTGCGCATAAGCTAAAGCTTTCAGAATCAACCTTTGATAGCAGCCTCTACCTGTTGAAAACAAGTGGAAAATCGAATAATCTCAGTTGAGCACAAGCAAATAGGGATAACGTGGACGTTGATAGGGTGGACATGAACAGGGTCAATGTTTGAGCAAATTCAGGTGCATTTGTTAAGTCAGGTTTCACCATTTAGCAGTTTTCACCAACACCGTTTAACGAGATCTTGAGTTAAACGGTGGATTTTGTGGAATTTGGATGAACCCCGCACCTTGCTACCTTGAGTCATTGGTCACGTGGAGTTCGGGGTCTATGGGGGTCCCCCAGGGACAGAAAAAGGAAGAACTGAAATTTCTGCGGATCGCCTTGAAGGCAGGCTCACATAATCCTTCCTCTGGGAAGCTAACTCGAGAGTGGCTAGGCCCAAGCTAAACCAAATTTGTTTGGAATCATAGCACGTGATGTCCAGGCATGACTACCTATGTTGAATATCCCGGTCCCTAAGATAGAGAGCACGTGCATGTATATATGTATATATCCACCTAGCTACCAGCCTCCTCGGATTCAACACAATTAACTCCTGTCATCTATCCAAACATTGAAGCGTCACTTATAACTCAACAACCTAGACCTCGCCAAGCACGGGTTTGGGTCGGGTTTTCAATTTCTTTACCCGCCCACGGGTAACCCACCGCGGGTTGTTGAGTTATAAGTGACGCTTCAATGTTTGGATAGATGACAGGAGTTAATTGTGTTGAATCCGAGGAGGCTGGTAGCTAGGTGGATATATACATATATACATGCACGTGCTCTCTATCTTAGGGACCGGGATATTCAACAATGACTAAGACCCAACCCAACCCACGGGTAGGGTTTTCGCGGGCGGGTTTGGGCGGTGGGCGGGTTTTGGCGAGGCCTATGACTACCTATTAGCGCTAAGCCGTTCCACCCAAGGTTCGCTCCTTCAAAAAGGATAAGAGTGGCACTGGATGGCGGTAAAGCATTTTTTCTCTGTAGATAAAGTTACTTGCGAGGAACTTGGATTTGATAGTGTATACGGTCCCTACTGAGCGATAGTAGCAATAAATAACTCTAGGTGCAGAAAACGTAGAGATGGATTTCAATTCTAGACCTATACCTATACAACGAATCGTAAAGGCAGCATGTATATGGATCTGATGTCTTTTCTTCCTGCATTTCGGTCGTAACTTTTTATCCGCAGAGGTCGGTGCGGTCCTGACCTTTCTTCCGCTAGACTCACGTTCCCTTGTCGCAGGCTATCTCCCACCTGCGGACACGTTTAGGTGGGGCTCTTCCGCTTAGCGGGCGCTAGTATCTTTCATACAACACTTTACATATTCGTTTTTTACCTGTGTATTGGCCTCATCAGGGCCTTTATTTCTTGTACCTTTCGAAACAAGATTTCGTAATGTGCTGGCCAATTTTCCAAATCCCACTATCGCCACTTGTAATTTGTATCCTTCATACTTGTAACACCAACGGTCTGGTAAACCTTGAAACGAACGAGGCAGGCGCATTAGGTCTAATTAACACGATATACGTGAGTGAGTGTTAAAAAATAAGTCATTGTACAATGACACCACCCTCACCAACCTACACCCACTACCTTGTGCCAAAGATGGTGGACGCGCTTCAACTGCCGAATATAGGATGTTGAACACTTGAAGAAGCGCCTTCAAGCCAGTCTACTAACCAAATTACTAACCCACAAGGATCCCTGTGATATTGACAACTGAGAGGACACATACGGCAATGACCCTTGTATGGGCTCAAAGGAGACACGGCATATATATATTAAGACATGTATTGATCGGATCAGTTTTAGTTGCCCTTTCGGCTTAGCCGCCGGGCGTAAATGAATTTGTGTGTGTGTGTGTGTGTGTGTGTGTGTGTATGTAGCGGGGTCATCTCTCTTGTAACTCTCTGGATAAGCCAACTGGGATTCAAGGAAGATACAACGCGCTGGGACTTTGCATGGTCAAACGTCTCGACCTTTCGGTATATACCCTATCTAATCCCTTTAAAATTCACGATAAAACATAGCTATTTGCAGCTTTGGAGGTGTTTTAGCGAATTCCTAATGATTAAAAGCAGGATATGTCATATATCCTCCAATGTGTTTTCGTCTAGAGAAAATTGAAAGGGAACTTGCATCGCATTGTTACAGGCTTGCAGCTCTGCGAGTTGTTCCTGGAGCCAAGATTTAACAGCTTCCAATTCAGCAATACCGTCCGTTCGTCTCCTCTTTCTTGTCGTGTACCCAGAGGCTGTAGAGCCGACTTGCTCGAAGGAACATTCCGGAAGAAAGTCAGCATGTAACAGTTGTTGCGGATTACGCTCATAAACTGAGTAACACCAATCGGCGTGAAGAGCTCTCCGGTCCTCCCCTGGGATATATATGTGAAACCGATGTCGTTCCAGCCCACCAAAAAAGTTGCTCAGAGTCTGTTGCTCATTTGGCAGTCTCAGCTCTCGAATGGGCTCTCCTGGTATTGAAACGTTTATGGCAAAGAAGGGAGGCTGCTGGTTCTCCCACAATAGTTGTTGCGAGGCTATGAGAGGATTGAACTCCTGTGCTGAGTAGACATCTGTCATAGGGTCTGAGTGGCCTTCTGAATGATCATTCGGTGGATTGTGAGGCATCTCATTTGGCATATCGACTGCTATGTCTGATGAGAGATCATCTCTATGCAGGGCATTATCGGTGGCTGTATTGTTCGATTCAGTAGGGCAATCCTGCGTACTATGTCTATTAGGATTGAGATATCCGAAAAAAGCCGAGAATATAGATCTGCTGATGAATCCTGCCGTAATACGAGGGGTTGTCCAAGTCTGCTCCAATGATTCTTGTGTCAAGGCATAGCGATCAGCCTCTACCGAGTACATAAATGGCTTACCACATCGCTGTGCGATCGGAATCTCTTCCTCATTTTCGGGATAGTCCTGTGATAGCGGTGCAGGTAGATTGGCTTCCTGTGCTTGAAAGCCACCAGCCAAAGGGGGCCAGATATTTCTCTGTCCGGCAAGCCAAAAAAAGTGCCCCCAAAGCACCGCCCGATTTATTGTTGCCGGCCTTTCTGTCATACTTCTCAGGGAAGGACGACTATTCCCAGGTTTCGGGCGAATCACGCGTCGCTTATGGTCAGTCATTTCAAAGCCGTATTGAAAACTAAACCGCCAGAGTTCGTAAAGGTCGGGACGAATCATTTCTTGCCTGAAAGGGGTCGGCATGGGAACAGCTGTGCCCCAATGCTCCCCCACAGCTTCATCGATTGTGAGCTTTCGCTCAGGATTAGGAACGAAAAGCTGTTGCATCACAGATCGCCCAACTTCGAGATACAGCCTATCTTTAAAAAATGTTTTCAGTGTCGGAATAGGATAATCAATACCCTCGAGTCGGTTCCATATTTCACAACGCCGTGCTTCATTCTCAATCTCTTTGAAAAGTTCGCCTGTTTCCATTCGAGTCTTGAGAAAAGCCAAGTCTTTTGCTGATACTTTGGGTGCTCGAGACTGAAGTAACTTTACGCTCACGCCATCTACCAGAGGTAAATAGTCGTCTCCTCCCATCAAGTACGAGAAAGTTGTGCCGATGAGGCGCAAGTAGTTCATAATAGGCTGCAAGATTTGGGCTAGTTTAGAGATTGAACACGTAAATGGGACGGCACGTACCTCGTCACATCGCATCGAAGTCACCTTGTGGAGTAACCCGATTCGCATACCCTCCCAGATGCCTGGTATTGGCAATAGATCATCAAAAGCCTGGGGCAGGCTCTGGTGTTTCAGAAATGCTCTAAGATACTTTCCTTTTTTGCTCCCGTCTGTCTTTTCCAAAATAGCCCACCAGTGATTTGATGCTATAACAGCCCACAAGCGATCTGGATGTGTTTCATGGTCGATTAATCGACCGTAATAACGGATGCGCTGATAAATCAGGCCATCTGGCGGCGTATGATCGTTTGGGAAGCGTTCTTGAAGAGACCTAATGAATTTGTCCTGGAGAGAGTCACTGTTTTCTATGTTGGTGGCTTCATTTGGGTCAGATGAGATGTATAACAACAAGTTTGGGATGTGATGAAGTTCGGTCTCCTGTGTTTAGTCTTACTGCCACGCACCTTGCCGGTCTGTTACGTAAACATCGACAATCCACCACTGATTCCGCGGAGGCCTAAGCTTATTGCGGGCAGCTGTGATGAGGTTCTCATGATCTTGAGCGCGAAGCTCATAGTCAATATCCACGTCCAACCAAGTACAAGTACCGTCTAATTGCCGCGGACGGACACGATTGCCCCAGTCTGCTGCAGGAACTAGAACTGGCACATGACACTCCTTCTTCAAGCGCTGGCAACCTTGGATATCCATGATTTTCTCAAGTCTAGTCACATTTTGACGATCATCCATTTGTCGCTTGAAACTTCGATCCCAAGAAAGACGGGAAATATCAACTCGCGCTGATAGCTCAAAGTGAGTCTCTTGATACGTAAAGAGCTCATTCTCGGCTGCTTCCACTTGAGCTTGGGACAAACGTGGCATGATTTTCAAATTCTCAAAACGTAATTCAAAAGCTCTAGCAAAATAATCTTCATGAGGATGAGAATATATAAATGAATTCGTTGTTTGAAGGGATGTTTTCACCGTGAGCTGTACGCCTGAGTTGTGCACATTTGGTTCACCGTTTATGTTGGATGCAGCCCACTGTACACCACTTCGGTCACTGATGGTCTTTAAGGATTTGCAGTGGTATCAATAAAAGAGGAATCAAGTCTTTGAGGGTACCCGCTTTTTTTCCGTCTCCCATATTTCAGTTGAAAATATCAGTATTGCAAGAGTACAGTATGCACGTTCAAAAAATATCACACCAATGAACGAGACATCTATTCCCTAGCCTAGATGTGCCCCGTGAAAGCCACCAATCCTCCGTCGAATCCCCTTGACACAACTCCCTTAACCTCCCTCACTTTTTAAAAATAATCAAAGATCAACTCCAGAGCTACTGTAAATTTCTCCTTGAAGTCAGTCGGACCTACATATCTTACTCCAACTCACCAAACTACAAGCAAAATTTAAGCACTTTCCTAACCAGGAAATAAGTTGTTTTCCATTGGCAAAGTAATTCCTTCCATAAGCCTTGTCTCCCGGTGCGCCAATATATGTACTGAATCTTGGGCTGATTTACATTACACACACACACACACACAATTCATTAACGCCCGGCGGCTGAGCCGAAAGGGCAACTAAAACTGATCTATCAATACACGTCCTAATATACATCTGCTGTGTCTCCTTCGAGCCCATACATGGATCCTTGCAGTATATGTCCTCTCAGCTGTCAATATCATAGAGATCCTTGTGGGTTAGTAAGTTGGTTAGTAGACTGGCTTGAAGGCGCTTCTTCAAGTGTTCAACATCCTATCTTCGGCAGTTGACGCACGTCCACCATTTGTGGCACAAGGTGGTAGGTGTGGGTTGGTGAAGAGGGGGGGTGTCGTGTCGTTGTGTTGGTTAACGTGATTAGGTGGCGTCGAGTCGGCCCGTTGCGATCGCAAATCGTATTGAGGCTCGCACAGCTTCCAAGTTCGGCGTCCAATGCGGATTATCAGAAGGCGATTTCCCGCCCAGAAAGAAGGAGAGATTTCCTCGGTGAGTTTGGCTACATTGCAGCAGTGCTATTCGTTGTGTGGTCCACTTCCGACATCGGAAGAGGAAGTGTTCCACGGTCTCACTCGCTTGTCCACATGCACACTGATTCGTGTCTGCCACGTTGATCCGACAGAGATAGCTATTGAGTCTGGCCATGCCAGTCCGGAGTTGGGCCAGTACGCTCGCTTCCTTCCACGTCAATCGATCATACAGCTGTCGAGTGTGCTTTCCTGGCAGTGCTGCATCTACTCTTTTCACGTGTCTTCCTACGTTCTCCGGCAAGTTATTGCTGGGAGCCGCATGAGACCGAGCGATCTTCAGCGTTGTCGACTTCATTCTGGGGGCAGGTTTTTGCAGGGCGGCATCCTTCTGGGTCGCGGTCCTGGCTTGCCCTTTGGCCAGACCTAGCGGTTTATTGTCCGCGCTGGTAGGGCCAAGAGACATAAAGTAGCTTTGGCAGGCCTACTTGCATAGACCACTACCCCAGTTTTTCACCCAATAAAGAGGCTTCTGGACTCTTGAGGTGGACAAAGCCTCTCACCCTGGGTGTCTCTCAGTTTGCTCCTTAAGCATACATCACGGGCCAATCAACTAGGGCGACACCGCTTTGATCAGGCTTAGCTGATCTCAGGCCCTCAGTGCGAGTGAGGTAGTTGATTCCCGGCTGTTTGTATACCGACACGCGCATCCGTCCTCTCGGGCCATACAGACAGTCTCTTAACAGGCCCCGACCCTGTTGCAGTGGCTGCCATTGTACACCACGCCCCGCGAGAGCTTGAACTCTCGTTTCGCGTTACCTGGGGAGGTCTCCCCCGCCAGGCCGACCGTGTCTTGCAGAAAGCCCTCGTGTACGCTCCGTCCGGCAGTGTACGTCGGCCACTTTCCACTAACCAAGCTTGTTCCCCAATGCCTGAGCAGGATCGATGGTTTGCCCGTGGCAACGCCTTAACGAGTTCCATCGTTTGCCACCAGCCAAATGCCAATCCCTTCCAGAAATCCCGTGTATCTCCCAGGAGGATGCCCGTGTCTCGGTGCTGTCCGTGTCAAGAAGAGGAGCCGCGTCAAAGGTTGCCCGTGGCCAGGCCTTAACGAGGTCTTTCGAGGCGGTATCTTCAGGTCTTAACGAATTTGAGTCTTAACGAGGTCTCCTGGGCCTTGAACGAGGTCTGTTCGATATTAGCTTGACTGCCTGTGTCACCGGTTCACTACCGCCTCGCCGCATCTCGCACGATGCGATCCCAGACCGTATGCAAGCTCAGGGGTGTCCTGTCTTCTTTTTAGGGCGACACCACTTCTGCTGGTAACGCAAGACCAGCTTCTGGGCCCGAGTGCGAGTCGGGTAAAAAGAAGTCGGATGGTTTTCGTATCCCGTTATCCCCTGATTTTGGTGTGGTTGTGCGGTCGCTTCCCGCACCGGGCCGAACCGCACAACCACGGCGGATTCAATTTGGTCTCCTCCACGAGGATTAACACCGGACACCACGAGAAGGTATGAATCCATTGTCCCAGCAGCCTGGCTAGAACTGCTGCCCAGTGCGAGCTCACTGGGGGCGCATACAGTACAGACAAGTGCAAATCCAGCTTCACCAGTTTACACTCAATCATTCTTTCTGGGCCCCACTGCCAAGCCGCTAGTCTAGGAACTGGGTATATATTAATGGTCCTGTATACATTACGTCATGAGCATTTTGCTTAAAACGACGATGGGCAACGGAGTACCAATGGCTTGCACTCCGTTGTGAGTTAAGCGGATGGACATAATTCGGCTCTATAGTTAATTAATTTGCAAAGGATCCCATGACTTAAACACGCTATTTTAATTTACCCCGTAGACGAATCTTACATATCGTGATGAAGCTTTCTTGAGCTATATATTAGTCAAAGACTTGCTAGGACTCTTCGACAATAAGATCTAATCTGCGTCCTCTTCAACCACAACGTTCGCATGCCGGAAATGACCTTCTGCACTTTCTCTTTTCGCCCCGACGACATCCAGGCTTCATTCAAGAAAATCTTTGAAATCTTGACCTGTGTGATGTTGCCAATTCCGTCTTACGAATGCTTTGAGTTCCGCGAAGAATTCCTCGATCGGGTTTAAGTCAGGCGAGTACGGTGGCAAGTACAACAGCTTGACACTAGCAATTGAATATAGTTCTATTATTTGTTCAGTATGGTGAAAAGACGCGTTGTCCATGATGAGAACGGATTTGGGCTCCGGCCATCTACCACAATGATGAAGAAGCTGTTTAACAAAGTCCTCAAATATACTCGCGTCTATCGATCCTTGGAAGATTCGCGACATCAGGATACCATCTTGGCAATATGCTGGGAGGATTTGATACCGCTGGCCGCGCTGGAAACGGGAAACCTGGACAGGTGTTACCCCGCGTGGGGACCAGCCGGTCCTCCTGAACCCAGCCCGTTTATCACAGCCTGATTCGTCTATGAAGACCAGGTGATACGAGCGAAAATCTGAGAGCTGATGCAGATAATGATCCCTCAGATCCGCATTTCGTTCTTGTGCTATTCGTCGTGCTACCTTTTTAGTCCAACCCTGCGATCGAAGGGCTCGACTAACAGTGTATGTGGACACGAGCAGTTCGAATTCGTCATATAAAAAGTCTGCCATTTCGTCTAGGTATAAATCCGGTTTCCCAATCAAGTGTTCGCATAGAGCTTCGAGCATAAACGGTGTGATCATACGAGGACGGCCACCAGGGATCAAGGGTGCTCGAACATCGCCGAATATTCGGAGGTTGTTACTGATAGTTATAATCGAACGCTTGCTGCAGCCAGCCGCTTCTGCCATCTCTGAGGTAGTCAGCGATCTGCTGTCAATCATATCACGAATCATCACAAGCTGGGAGGGGGCAAGCCGAGGCGCCATGATGGTCTTTGTCGCGCTGTTACTCGAAGCAGTTGGTGGGGTTGGTAAGGGCGTAAGGGAACAACCTGGGTCGTCTGGGTCGGTTCGGGCCGACTGTCCAGCCGAAGGCCCATCCAGCCATTGCACCAATAGAAATGAGCCTTTAAAAATAGCCGCAACTCTGTTGGCGGCTACCCCTCTTTCTCAAGCTTCAACCTGAAGCAATTCCCTGGTTCCACCTAATCTCACTATCCTGCCGTCTATCTTGAGACAAATCGAGATTGATCCAGCCAGCAAATTTATTTTGACAACTTGAAAATATGAGCTCGTCTCTCTACTGATATAATGAATCGACCTCAACAACAAGACCCGGAGTCGACGGACTCCTACACAATAGCATGGATCTGTGCCCTGCAAGAAGAATATTTCTGTGCATGCCGTATGCTCGACGAAGAGTTCACCGGGCCGGATATGAGCGAAGCCAACGATGATAATACGTACGTCTACGGTCGTATTGAGAAGCATTACGTGGTGGTTGGTTGTCTTCCAGCCGGTCGGTATGGCACCCATTCAGCTGCCCGTGTTGCCCGAGATATGGTTCGAACGTTTCCACATCTACGGTTCGCACTGATGGTAGGCATTGGAGGCGGCGCTCCGACCGCCCGAAATGACATCCGATTAGGGGATGTTGTCGTGAGTCAACCAACAGATGGATTCGGCGGAGTGATACAATATGATCTGGGCAAGCTCAAAGATGGTCGGTTCCAGAGGACAGGTCAACTCAACGCGCCGCCCGAGAAACTTCTGGGAGTTATTCTGCAGATGTGTCGACTATTCAGTGATAAAAAGAAGCCAGACAGATTCGCGGAACATCTTCAGCGTCTTGATGATATGGAAGATTATCAACGACCAACTGTTGACCAGCTTTCTTCCATCGAATATCCGCCTAGGGATACAAAAACTTGCAAGGAAGGCGCTTCACACTCGGTAGTGGTCCGCCCAGAACGCCGCAACCACCGTGTATTTCATGTTCACTACGGAAATATCGCGTCAGGAAATACTGTGCTCAAGGACGCTATTATGCGAGACAAATTTGCAAACGACCCAGAGCTGAATATCTTGTGCTTTGAGATGGAAGCTGCGGGTCTGATGAATAATATTCCGTGTCTAGTAATACGCGGAATCTGCGATTATTGTGACTCTCACAAAAATGACGACTGGCACAAATATGCTGCGCTCACTGCTGCTGCGTATGCACGGGAGCTACTCTTAGTTCTGCGGCCGCAGCGTGTGGATGCTATGCCAAGTTGGGTAGACCAAGTGACACAGGAGCTTCAACGAGGTTAGATCCCGAATTCAACTTTTAGGACATAAATAACTTTCTCATTACATTCCCTCACTCGGCCTAGTTAACCGGAAAATTGACTGGGGTAAACTGCAAACGGTTGAAGATGCGGCATTTGATTCATTTATGGACCAACATGAAGATGAATGTTTCCCAGGTACCAGAACCGAGCTTCTTTCCCGGATCAAAAAATGGGCTCAAGCTTCGGAAGCCAAACCTATCTTCTGGCTGAATGGCAGGGCTGGAACAGGCAAGTCGACAATTTCCCGAACAGTGGCGAGGTATTTCAAAGAGAGGAAGCAGCTAGGAGCGAGTTTTTTCTTCAAGAGGGGAGAAGGAGACCGAGGGAGTGCCAAAAAGTTCTTTCCAACAATCATCAAACAGCTTGTTACGCCTTTTCCTCAGCTGATCCCAGCGATACAGAGAGCCCTCAGCGATGAGCCTGAAATTGCAGGGGAAATCCCTGAAAGACCAGTTTGATAACCTGGTCTTTCAGCCCTTGCTCAGTTTAGTGGCATCAGACACCCAACCTACAACCATAGTGATAGTGGTTGACGCACTAGATGAAGGTGAACGGGATGAAGATATAGGGCCGCTCGAAATCAGTTTCACCTCTTTGTTCTTTTCGATTCTTTCTCGAACTCTATCCTGAAACACGCTAGTCTATTTTTAATTTTGTTTCTCGTAATATGGTGAAACGTATTTATGGATGAAGTCACACGAATTGTTTTTTATGTAATGTAATGTACTTGAAATAAAACACATTCCTCTATGTCTGGCATTATCTGATCATTAAATAAAGACTTTCTTTTTACGGGTAATAGGTAAACTACTGTAGCATTGCGTGGTCGCTGTCATTATGATAATAGACAGGGAGCCAACGTAGCACAAACCTCCGTGGATATATCAGTAGCATGAAATCGAGAAGATTGGTCCCCCTGACCAACTTCATCGGTCACCTGATTGCGGGGTAAACTTCCAAGTCAGCAACGCCAACTTTGGTACCACCAAGCATCGACCTGATTCGAGGACTATTATGGCAACTATCTCATATGACGGCCCTAACTCGGGGCTTCAAATCGGACAGAACCATGGCCATATCACTGCTCAGTTCTGTAGGTAGGAGAAAGTACGACTCTCACAGAATGTGACTAATCAGTTCGATTATCTCAGTACAATCGGAAGCGTCATTGAATCAAGCGTGCCTGCGGGATCTGCGAACGACGAGTCCTCATGATAACAAGGACCGCATCGAACGAACCAACGGAGGGTTGCTGGTAGACTCGTATCGCTGGATTTTAGACAACGAGCAGTTCAAACAGTGGCAAGACAACCAAAGTAGCCGTCTCCTCTGGATCCTGGCAAAGGCAAGACAATGCTTCTGTGCGGGATCATCAATGAGTTAACCCGATCGATCGGGGATACTGCAAATATCTCCTTCTTTTTTGCCAAGCTACGGACGTACGAATCAATAATGCAACGGCCGTTCTCCGTGGCTTGATTTATTCACTAGTCGAGAAGCAGCCATCACTTCTCTCTCATGTACGGAGCCGGTACGACCAAGCGGGAAAGTCGCTGTTTGAGGACGTAAACGCGTGGAATGCGCTCTCAAAAATGTTCAACAATATTTTGAAAGATCCGACCTTACAGAATACTTATTTAGCGATCGATGCGCTCGACGAATGCACAACGGACCTCCCTTTGCTTCTGGACTTGATTGTTCAGGAATCATCTACCTATTCGCACGTGAAGTGGATTGTCTCGAGCCGTAACTGGCCTGGTATCGAAGAGCGTCTGAATACTGCAACGCAGACAGCGCCTATCTCATTAGAGTTAAATGAGACATCCGTATCTAACGCTGTGCAACAGTTCATTCGGCATAAGGTTCACCGATTGGCAGAAATCAAAAAGTATAAAGATAAACTCCGCGATGACGTTTACCGTCACTTGTCGTCACACTCACAAGGCACTTTCCTCTGGGTAGCCCTGGTTTGTGAAGCTCTTGCCAGACTGGAAGTGTCACAGAGGCATGTCCGTAACAAGCTTAAGGAGTTCCCGCCTGGACTGGATGCGTTGTACGGTCGAATGATTGATCAGGTTGGAAAGTCAGAAGATGCTGAGCTCTGCAAGCGAATACTGGCTGTAATGTCGATAGTGTATCGGCCTATCACTATTCACGAACTGACCGCCCTAGTTGAAATACCTGATAATCTCTCCGATGACGATCAAGCTTTACTGGAGATCATCGCAATTTGTGGCTCGTTTCTTACTAGGCGTGAGGACGTTATTGTTTTCGTCCATCAGTCTGCAAAGGAATTCCTGCTCAAAAAGGCGCGAAGCGAGGTGTTTCCGGAGGACCAAGAAGCCGAACATCTTATAATTTTCTCGCGATCTCTACAGACTATGTCCAGGAAACTTCAGCATAATATCCTGAATATTGAACTTGTTGGGATTTCGACCGAGGAATTCACACACCCACGTTTGAATCCTCTAGCAGCTATAAAATACTCTTGTGTGTATTGGGTTGACCACCTTTTAGAAGGTTGGTGTGGTGAAGACAAGCATCACACCCTTGACGATGGAGGCTGTGTGGACAGGTTTCTACGGCAGAAATATCTTCACTGGCTTGAAGGCCTCGGCATTTTGGGATGCGTACCAGAAGCAATAACCGCTATGCTAAAGCTGGAGGGCTTACTCCATGTGAGTGTCTATTAAAATTCCGAAAATATCTGGATGTTAACGAGGCACTTTGTAGGAGAATGGAGTATCACTGGACCTGCTAAGGCGAGTTCAAGACGCGTCCCGGTTCATTCGTTACTACAGACATGCAATCGAAAGCAGCCCGCTTCAAGTGTATAGTTCAGGACTTGTCTTTAGCCCAACTCAAAGTATCACGAGGATATGTTATCAGAAAGAGAAACCCGATTGGATTTTGAACAGCCCAGTGGTAGATGAAAGCTGGAGTTCATGTCTTCAAACCCTCGAGGGGCATAGGAGCCCGGTCAGCTCGATTGCCTGGTCGCCAGACGGGAGCCAACTCGCATCGGCGTCAGTTGATAACACTGTCAAGATCTGGGATCCGGCCACCGGCCAGTGCGCATCTACCCTCGAGGGGCATGGTAACTCGGTCAGGTCGATTGCATGGTCGCCAGACGGGAGTGGGAGTCGACTCGCATCGGCGTCAGATGATAGCACTGTCAGGATCTGGGATCCGGCCACTGTAGACTGCGACATCGCCCATGGACGGGCGGGTGGGCAGTGCCCACGGGCCTTATGTAAGCGGGCGATGGGCACTATCCATACGCCCATGGACGGGCCCTACCCTTAGGGCCCATTGTCCATGGACACCGTGGGCGCCCATGGGCCTTTTTAGTAAGCAGAATTTCTTGACCTCGTGACCTGCATTATTTGTGCATTTTTTTCTCTGTATTTTTGAGTAATTCGATTACATGTACAATGACTTGATACTACTGTCAATTTTCTGACCGAGGTCAGAAATGAGCTTTAGAAGCCTTTATACAACAACTTGACACATTGTCACTTTTTTGACCGGGGTCAGAAATAAGCCTTGGAAGCCTTTGCATAATGACTTAGGCATTCATTATATTCATATATTTACACTAATACGATACAAATTGATCATTATTAGGTTTGCCACGCTTCCTTGCTTCTCTTAAACCAGGGCGCTTTTGAGTGCTACCCTTATCTCCATAATGAGGGAGATGAGGACTGCTCTTATCTTCGCTGTCGACTAGCTCACTTCTCTGTCGCTTCCGCGTACTTAGCACTATAGAAGGACGAGGAAGCTGACTCTCCATCATAAACTCATACTCGATCAGTCCAACAGGATCATTATCCTCGGAATCCTCACTATCGCTGATTGGTTCAGGCATGTCAGTGGTAAGCTTAGCCTCTCTCTGTTCGTCTGCTTCTTGCATTGAATCCAAGGACGTATCCTCATCGGGTAGTTCTTCTATTTCAATGTCGAACTGGGTTTTATACCGGAACATTATGATATCCTGGACTGTCTTCGTACTCAGCCGCCCACGTCGGTAGTGGCAGACATCCCGTGCTAAATTGAAAAGACGTTCAACTCTAGCGCCTGTTGCAGGAATAGAGAGAATGTCGCGAGCAACACTGGAAAGAATTGGGAATTCATTACCTGGTCGAAGTTCTCCCAGACATCTAATATGTGTTTTGCATCCTATCGTAGCCTTTGTTGTGTCTCAGTACTGCTGCCGCGTACTGTGGTACGCCACCACTCGATAAACTTTACTTTGGACGCGTTGTTCATCGCGTCGTAGAGGATAAACTGCTTTCTCCGATCGGGGCCGACGCGTTTGAGAGAGCAATCAAGAATAGCCGGTTGAGTGAACTCGGACTCTATCAGTGAGATAGAAGTCTGTTGGCTGTTGAAGAGACTGGGATCAATATTTGGATTAAGGTTAGGATCAAATATATCGGCGACGTAGGAGAGGTCTGGTTGGGAGCTCGGAGGAAGTGAAGAAGGCCCTGCGGTATAGGCACTAGGTTGGGACATGGTTAATGTGATGTAAGGGATAATATAACGACTATAGGAGAGTGAGTGATCTGAACTTACAATAGGTAACTTGCGACCGTGTGAAACGAGGATTACTAGTAAAAGGGGTGCTTTGTATAGATCTGATAGATCGTAAATTGAGTGTAGACCCACTATATATTATAAGCTGATTGGCTATAAGTGTCTTTGTCCATGGGCATGCCCGTGGGCACGCCCGTGGGCACGCCCATGGGAACATACCTAAACGCCCATCTTGAGTTACAATCGAAGGATTTAAAACTCCCAGAATAATAACACAAGTCTTTGAGTGATATAATTGACAGAATTTAGTGATATAAGCTTATAAAATAAGAATTATACTAATTATCTTTCGATCTACCTATGAGAAATATACTAGAGTGAGAGATAAAGTAGAATCCATAAGTAGTATTTTACTTATAGAAAATGCCAGGCATGTACCACTGACTTAAATATATATCTTCAAGCTGTTACAGTATGATTTGATAAGTTAATAAAAATACCACACAATATGATGTATTTCGATTAAAATTTTATTCCAATTCGTATCATATATATACTAGTTTCTCATATACATAGATATTTCAGTAAAATTTATAGATGTTGTAGATTAAAACTGCCATTTTACATGGAGTTGGCAAAACAGGTGTAAATAACAGTTATTTATTATGCAAAGTCAGCGAGTTATACGTCCATTTTGGGTGACTTTATGCAATGGTGGGCATCGTGGGCATGCCCGCCGTGGGCATGCCCGTGGGCCTTGGGCGTTATGGACGGGCACTCGAAAATCCAAATAGCCCAAGGCCCACCGTGGACGGGCCTTGGGCACCTCCTAGGTGCCCATGGACGGGCGATGTCGCAGTCTATTTCTCCCTACCCACGCATTCAGATCGCCTATTTCTCTGGGTAATATGCCTCCTATTCGATCACATCAGACTAAACTACCTTCTACAAGAGCCCCTATTCGCCCACTACATCAGAGAAACCAAGAACTCAACCTATCTCGCGCACAAAACTTATTAAATTATAGATAGTTGCTAAGCGGTCTTATAATCAGATTCACAAGACGTATCCTACAATTCCACTATCTATCATTGAATCTACGATTTTGGCCGCATCGAAAAGAATTAATTACTAGCTACTACGCTCTAGGCGCCCTCGGAAGCTTAAAAGGACGATATTAAGAAGATTGACGATATGATTAACAAAATTCCATGCGTTTTAATTTAGGACCTCCTTAAAGGTGTCTTAAATAAGGTGAAACAAACCTCTATCTAGCGCTTTATGCACGAATAAGGCCGCCGAAAGTGATTCGTCCTTGAGCGCCTAAGCTTAACCCCCCAAGTATGCGACTATATATCTTCGCTGGGCACTTGAGTACTATGACTTTACGCATCAGTATATACGGTCGAAAGGGGTATTAGTGATGGCCGTAAGTACTGTACAATTTTACGCCTCAAAATAGGTTAACTGCTTAGCGAGATATCCGCACAGTTCTATCTCTAGGAAATAGACTAAAGACTGCTTTCTCGGGATCTACGAGGTGAACTGGCCTTGTCCCTCTGTTCGGCGATCCGAGCAGTGCACACGGGGGTGTGTATCGCTTTATAATTCGCGATCTTTACCAGCGAACACCACCAACCTTGATCACTAATCGCTGTGCTCAGGAATGAAGCCGCAATATCGGAAGTAATTCCTGCTCTATGTATGGGAAGAACCAAATTGGTTGGAAATTAACTTGGACTTCATGTTGTTTATATACCCTCATGTATTCCCTCAGGAAGATTAATCAAGCTTTCTTTTGCATTACAACACTCTCAATATCTTGCGAACGGTAAGCTCTAACCGAAATGCTTGATTTGGTATAATACTAACGAGTTGATCTGATAGGTAAAATTGATGTTTAGCCTTTTCAATTCTGGAGAGAGAACCAATCTCATTTCCCTGTGATCCCCTTCCTCGCCTGTGACGTGTTCTTTATTCCGGCAACAGGTACTAGGATAGAGCCACTATTCAATGCTGCTCGAGATGTTTGCCATTTTCGTCGTAGTCACCTAGTCTATCGCACAACCCGGGTTTGGGTCGAGATATCGGACCCGGACCCGGACCCAGCCTGGGTCCGGGTCGAAGTCAGCGAACCCGGACCCAACCCGGACCCAGCGCTGGGCCCCCAATGGGGCCCCAGTAAAACCCAACTTTGCATAAAAACAAACTCTTGGCGTTCATAAAGTTGCTAAATAATCAACATGTAATCTTCGTATTTTTTTGTGTTTTAGATCGAACCCATATGAACTCACTTATTCGACATCAACTTTATATGACTAAACTAAATAGACACTTTATATCATTTTATATTGGCCAGATATTAGTTTATTACCAATAAAAATTAAAGATAATCATGGTTGTAGTGGTATTTGATAATTTAGGTTTGCTGACATGGTTGAAGTTGTAGAAATATATTTTGAATACAGTGTAAAGTAGTCACTCTATCCTTACACGTTGAGATCTCCTTTCGACTACTACTATCTCTGACCGCGGTCAGAAAATTAATTATACGATTAAAGCCTTATTCTACTATACTTTCTAACCGCGGTCAGAAACTCTAGCTGAGGGGATCTTACAGTGAGCGCGGGTAGAGCCCGAGTACTAATACTCCTAGTTTCTGACCGCGGTTAGAAACTCTGGCTGAGGGGATCTAGCAGTAAGCGCGGGTAGAGCCTGAGCCTTAGTACCGGCATTAGCCCGTTATAATTGCTGGGTTTTGCTGGGTTTTGCTGGGTTTTGCTGGGTTTTGCTGGGTTTTGCTGGGTTTTGCTGGGTTTGGCTGGGTTTGGCTGGGTTTGGCTGGGTTTTGGCTGGGTTTTGCTGGGTTATGCTGGCTCTAACCCACTTAAACCTATAATATATACCAATTAAATGCTAGTGAAGTAGGTACTTTTGATAAACGACGACTTGATCGTTCAGCTCTCTATTCACAGCTAGGGTAATACGTCTTCTGCCCTTTGTAAGTAAATCCCTTCTCTTATTCTTCCCCTCGTAATTGATCATTTATTTATTTCGCCTATTATGTCCCAGAGCCAGCAATCTAATTTGACATCCTCGATTTATGATGGAGATATAGACAATCTTGGTTATCTTACCCCTTCAAACCGACTTGGTACCCCTGAACCATCCACTAGCCAGCAGACGTTCGATCTCGACTCTATTGACTCCGAATTCCTTCGTCCGATTATTCCCCTTATACCTCCTACCTCACTTCTACGTGTTGGTCCCGATCGGAGAAAGGCATTTGTTCTTTATGACAAAATGACTCATACCGAATGGGTCGACTGGTGGTTACAGACTGATTTTGGAAGGAAGAGCAAGATCCATTGGGACTCAAACCACCAGTCTGATGTTTGGGGTAGGTTTAACCAGGTTGCAAATAGTATCGATGGGGCACCAAAGGTTATGTGTAAGAATTGCGGCCAGATTCTTGAGCATCCTTACACTATCCATCCTCATCCAACGGGCGACCGGAAAGCACAATATCATGGCACATCAACAATGTCAAAACATATCAAGAGCGCAGGGTGTCGAAAGGCTAAGGGTGGATCAAAGCTAGAGATCACAAGATTCCTCAGCAAAGCTGTATGTTCTATTATAACTTAATCTTTTATTCTCCTTACTAAATTTTTTTAGGATGATACTCCGACCGAGGCTCCTTTCTCACAAGAGGCCTGGGAGGAAGAGATTTTATCCTTCTTATCTCTTAATCGACTCCCATTTCA